TCTTCCGTTCTGCTGAGCACAGGTCTGTGTCGTTTTAATGGCCGGGGGAAAGTGAGACTGAAAGCGGGGCGCGGCTCCTAGGCAGGCTCCGGTGCGCGCCGCGGCCCGGGCGCACCGCCCGTCCCTGCGGCTCTTCCGTGGCTGGGGCGACTCATTCGAAAAAAGCACGTGGAGAGTGGAGCCCGGGTTTCCTCGGCCCCGAGCCCAGCGCGCCGAACACTGTTCCCCAGCCACCCTCTCCGCTGCCTCGGGACTTTGTGCGCGGGCGGCAGTGTTTCCAGCTAGTCTCTCGGCCATTTTTGCGCGGTTTGCAACGTCTCAGTGTTGACACGGGGGACAGGGCTCTGACGGCAGCCGCAGTGTCAGTGGGACACGGCAGCCGGGGCCCCCTGTCACTTACTTAACCTGGTTTTCGGAGGGCTGAGCATTTTACACGGATTACATTTATTCCTCTCATTAGTAACCCCACGGGCCCTGGCCGCGCGGCTCAGTTGATTGGACCGTAGTCCCCACACGAGAAGGTTGCGGGTTCAATTCCCAGTCAGGACACAGACCCAGGTAGTGGGCTGGATTCCCGGGCAGGACACAGACCCAGGTAGTGGGTTCGACTCCCGGGCAGGACACAGACCCAGGTAGTGGGTTGAATTCCGGGTCAGGACACAGACCCAGGTAGTGGGTTCGACTCCCGGGCAGGACACAGACCCAGGTAGTGGGTTCGATTCCCAGTCAGGACACAGACCCAGGTAGTGGGTTCGATTCCCAGTCAGGACACAGACCCAGGTAGTGGGTTCGATTCCCAGTCAGGACACAGACCCAGGTGGTGGGTTCGATTCCCGGTCAGGGCACGTACCCAGGTTCGATGGAAGTTTCTCACATCGATGTTTCTCTCACATGGATGCTTCTCTCATCACTTTCTCCCTCTTTCTCTAAAATCAATTAAAAACATTAAAAAGAAGATAATCCCACGCGTTGGGTCCGGTTGCAAGCCCCACTTTGCCCAACCTTGAAACCCTCTGCCCTTCCCAAGAGACGCGGGAGCCGCAGGGCGGGGCGGTGGCCGCAGTCCCAACCCCGCGGGGCGGGGTCTGCAGTCATAGGTGTTGGCGGCCTCGGGGGCTTCGGGGCCCGTCCAATGGGGACGGAGCTGCGCCCAGGCCCCCCGACTGTTTAAAAGCTCTGGCGGGAAGGCGCGGGCGCTCCC